TTAATATAAAAAATATTGTACATCAATACGAATTAACGGTGATAAATTCTGTTTTTTCAATAAAGAAAACAATTTGCAGAATCAAATAAACTAGTAGAATATAAGATATTCATTTTTCTAATTCAGAAAAACGATTTCAATTTTTATCTTTTACAACTATTGTCCTTTCATCTTGTTTTAGAATTATAGATAGCACTGTGCCTATTATTAGTGTGGTAGTCTATGAGCTCTTAACCCTGGATCTTCAATTTTATCACTGTAAAAGAAAATCAAAAATCTGCAATTTTTATTATTTTAAAGACCTCTGCCGGCTATGTTCGAAATCCATGACGACTAACCGCCTACCAGGCATCGCTCGTCGCCTCAGCGGCTGACTGAGCGCCGCCCCTCCTGGAGAGTGGAGATTGAGATCGAGTGCCCGAGCCGACCTTCTTACCGGCTGCTATCCTGCCCACAAAATAAAACTCGAACCCCCGATGGTCGTTGCCTCGCCAGATGCCCTCGTGTCGATGCAACGCTGCTCGCGTAGGTTCTCTCTTCTTTTACCCTTCTGAAATCCGATTTGGGGCATCTTATGAGCCTAGGGGTAAAGCTCTCTCCCGCTGCAGTGGACTAGTGATAAGAGGAAATGAGAGCCCAGGGTTGTGTCTTGTGGGCCATGAGCTAGAAATCTGTCATGGGCAGCAGTAACATCACCAATAGAAGCCCTATTGTCGCCGATCGCCGTCCTGTACTACATATTTCTGCACGATTTACATATGTGCTGTTGACACCTGTTGTCGACCCAATGCCCTCGACGCCAAATAATTTTAAAAAATACGATGAATATGTTATAATTCTCAATTTTTTTACATATACGACGGATATTTTTATTAAATTATAATAGATTATTTTATAATACCCAATGAACATTCTTTTTCACTGCGACCATATTAATAATACATGTAATAGCAACATATTTTGAAATACAACTGAACATATTTTTCTCTTTTTTACAAACATGAACATTTTACCAAACAAAATAGGTTTACTAAAAAGAAAATGTAGAAAAACACATGCCTTTGCTTCGCTCGCTTTTTGTTTTTTTAGCACAGTGCGTTGCTAGCTTTTCTTCTTCTTCCAGAGGACGTGTGGAACTTTCTACTCCCTCCGTCCCAAATAACTTATCACAAAAAGAATTCATAAAAATAGATATATCTAGAACTAAAATACATCTAGATACATTCATTTTCACAACAAGTAATTTTGGACGGAGGGAGTAAATTTTTTATTTAGAACAATCTGCTAATCTTTAAGGATGAACAAGCTTCAAAATTCTAGAGAGGTCGCAAACTTAGAAAGGTTGTGAGCTTCAAAATTCAAGCTTCTGCTTTCATGGACATATCTACAACCCTGATTAGAGGCACTGCGCTCTAGGAAATCTCGTATGGTGGCCACAGGCCACGGCACTTGGTGACGATGGAGGACCGACGCTGGAGATCCCAGGCATGATGGTCTTCATCTTTCATCCATCTTCTCACTCCCAGCCCAGCTCCATCGATCGACTAAGATTGGGTTCAAAGATAGTACCACTGAATCCAGTAACTACGGTTAGCCCATATACCGTCGTAGGGTCTCTTCCATTTACATGATTCTTAATACACAATGATTAAAAAAACACATGATTAGAGTGTCATAGGCGGAGTGAAAAAGAAAATGCATCATAGAGTGTATGCCACCACATGAAAAGAAAAGGAAATGTAACAAGAGGTATGGCAAACAATTTGTTTTCTCCAAAACAGAGTACAGTCAAATCCTTAGGAGATATATCAAACGATCCCGCGATAGGACAAAATCCTTAGGATTCATATCTAACTATTGTACTAGCCAGGATGATAAGATCCTTTCGCTGGCCACAAATGTGAGGTGTGGAAGCAAAAAATAGATATACTATTTTTGCTAAACAATTTCAGAGCACATAATAAATGAAAGAAGCACATGAATAGAAGCAAGATGTTAGGTTCCACTACAAAGTGCATGATATATTCTAGAACTTTGATGCTTGAGAAACATAGCTTTGTCTTAGAGATGTACAAACTGTGGTGCAATAAAAGAACACAGAATAAATGCAAGAAGCGCATGAATATGCACTAGCTACCGCACATTCCAGAACAAACTGCATTATGCAGATAGAACATGTGCCATTAAAAAACCGATGAGTAGGGAAAATTATACGTCTATAGCATTAGATACGTCCCAACAAAACTAACCACAAAGATAGTAGCACCAGGCCATTGATTTATAGTCTTGAAACATTGAGCCAAACATAAAGACCCATTGTAATATATCAATAATTTGATCATAAAAAAGACACGGATAATAATCTGTACAGGCTTGCCGTAAAACAGGTATATGCAGTAAGTTTGAATACTTGGTGATGATTTGGATTTATAACCATCTACAATAAACTTAACAATTTGCAACATACTGTTGATATCTAAAACCAGAATAATCACTCAAACACTCATCCCTACTATGGGTACTTCAAGATCTGAGATATATACAGACTTGCGACAAACAGAAGGTAGGTAAAATATATATATTAACAGCCATATACAGATCATATCTACCTTTTTGCCTTCAGCCGAGCCAGCCAGATCTGCAGCTTTCCCGGTCACTTTGTATAACCTATTACTATCATTCATTCTGGGTGGGGCACGACACCAAGAATTGATGAGGCATTACACCAAGAACAGGTCATCTGAATTAACTAATATTCAGATCTGAGTTAAAAGTACCCAAAATACTAAAATTGAAATGCAAGATAACAGATACCTGGTCTTACCCAAAGGTGAGGCATGACACCAAGAACTGATTATCTGAATTCCAGGCATTCATACTGCCGATTTGTATGATGCATTAGATTCCAGTAAGCAAAATAATACCATAAATACACATTGCATCTCTTATGGGTTCATACCCAAATCATGTCGTAAAGTTGCGCCAAAATTTGACTAGTTTTTTCTTTTATCAATTATAAAGAATTGGTACGAAGATTGCTAAACTTGTATACTGAATATACAGGGTAAACTGTAAGCACATACACTCATATATTTTTTGTGTCCAGTAGGTATATTTATCATACCCACCAAAAGGAGGATGCAAGTAACAGATAATTAACAAGTAATGTGAGACGCTGAGCAAATTCCTGAAGGAACTGCATATAGTACGTTATGTTCTTGAGATGGCCTTGCACTGGTGACAGAGAAAAAAGGAACATGGCTGACAGTTATGACTGTCTGAAGAGTGTGTCAAGGGGAACGCAATCTGGGGCCTAAGCCTGACTGTGACAGAGATAGTCCCAAACAATGCAGCAACAAAGACGGACTATAGCGATTTAGTTATCAAGCAGGCCACTGGATGATCTGTAAGAAAGAAGTAGACTCGATTAAAAAAAACAAGGCAATTGTTCGGTTCAGAGAGAAACAGAGACATAAGGCAAATAAATAGGAAAATATTTCAAAAGCTGACCAAAACGACTAAATAATTTTAGCATCAACATGCTAGCCACTTTAGCCCAAAAGGATATTCTAACGAGTATAAATCTCATGCAGCCATGAAACAGTCAAAGCTTCTTGTGATCATAACTCGTCTACATCAAAAAGAAACGATCCGGCTCATAGTGGACAAAATTCAAACACATTGAGCCGGTCAAAGAAAAAAGGGCATGGCTGGGACTTACAGTTACAGTCAAGAGCTTCTTAAAAAAAAAAAAGGGCAACCTGGTGCATGTAGCTCCCGCTTGCGCAGGGTCCAGGGAAGGGTCCGACCACTTTGGGTCTATAGTACGCAGCCTTTCCCTACATTTCTGTAAGAGGCTGTTTCCAGGACTTGAACCCATGACCTCATGGTCACAAGGCAGCAGCTTTACCACTGCGCCAAGGCTCCCCTTCAGTCAAGAGCTTCTTGTGACCATAATTTGTCAACATAAAAAAAAAAACGAGCCGGCTCATTGTGGACCTAGTTCATAAAAATTGAGCCGGTCATCTTTAGAAAAGAGCATGGCTGAAACTTACAGAATCAAAAGGGGAGCCCAATCTGAGACCTGAGCCTGACAATGATATCCTTATCAGTACAAGTTTCATATCTCGAGCTTATCTTAAGATCACACACCACATGAAGCATTGATTCCTTAGTGTGGTTAGCAGCTAAAGAGAAGTGACTGATACAATACAAAACGATGCAACGCAAAGGCAGAATTATATAAGTATGAGAATCATGAATAAGAATGGATTGCAAACAGAATATTTCATAGAAACATTGCTTATAATGCAATCTTTCAATTAAACTAATTCTGCGAGCTCTTAAAAAAATCAGGTTCTGAGAATAATCAGCCTCATTCCATCATCAGCTTAAAAAAAACATACAACAGGAAACATGTGTATATTTGAAAATTTTAAGTATTATTAAGAGCACCAGATAGTATCTAAAGAAATCTCAATAAATGACAAGTCAATTCTTTAGGTCAGTAAACAAATCTATTAAGTACAAAGATAAACAATATATAAAGTGGGAAAATTATTACATTATTGAGTTCAAGAAAACATGAGTGGGATCAAATTGGCAAACATTTAAAAGGCTGACCCAAATGACTTGTAATTTTAGCATCAACACTCGAAGCAGGCACTTCAAGCCAAGATGATATTCAACGAAATATAACACAAACTTATATCAAATAGTCATAGATTAATTCCCAATTGTACTTTTAATACACATCAACAAAAAAGATTAATAGTTGATCTAGTTAATACATAGTGGAGCTCATGTGGGTACAGAGAGGTAGGTCGATAAGAAACACCACCACACTCAACACCTCTAAGATAAAAGGCTAAGTGTTCACAACATAACACTAGGGATTTAGTTAATACATAATGGAGCTCATGTGGGTACGGAGAGCCAGGCCGATGAGAAGCACCACCACACTCAACAGCCGTCTAAGTGTTGACAACATAATCGTCAGGTCAGATGAAAGGTGGAGCGTTGACAACATAACCCTCTAGTGTCGGAAAGAAGGTATGTTGAACAAGAGTTTTCTTGAGCACAGAATGAGTAGCAGTGATGCCTCTGGGATGGAAACTGGCAATCAAGTTGCCATCGGTATCAACCTGAAACAGCCACGGGTCACAACTGATGAGAATGAGCAACCCACCGTCGTCTCCAGGCACAACCATGACAACCTGTTCATGCTCGGAACACCGACACTGCTGCCTAGTCTCCGCAACGGGCAATTTAACCCGACACTTGAAATCCCAGACCTCTTCTTGGCGGTTCGGCATCACCCATGTATCAATGGCTGTGCCTTGATCATTAGGACCGAAGAGGGCAAGCATGTCACCCATGATAAACACCCGAGCGTCGTGACTAGCAGGCGGGGCGCCAACCGGGGCACGGATACGCCTGAAGGACTCATTGGTGGTGTCGAATACCAGTATTGCAACGTCAGTGTACCAGTATATGCTACCTTGGAATAGGAGCCCGTCGGCATCTTCGAGTAAGAGCGGATCAGGGAGGCAACCTATGTGCCTCGGCGGGTGGGCAGAGCCTAATGTGAAAACGAAGGCGGCATCTTCAGCCGGTAGGCACAGCAAGAGGCGGTAGTCGCCGCCTGTAGAGGAGGGGTGAGGGTACATCCCCATAGGAATGAATCCCTTGAGCTGGTGGAGGGGAGCATACTGCCGAGTTGCCGGGTTGCAGATGCAGAGGTCGAACGACTCGGAGTGAAAGTGGTAGAGGAGGAGGAGGAGGCCGTCGCGGGAGGCCGCCAGATACATGCGGGGAGTGGCGGATGGGTGCGCGTCGGAGGGAGGCATTTTGAGTCGCGCGACGGGCTGTAACCGGCCGCCGGCGGCGGCGGCACGGTGGTCGAAGGTGACGATTTTCAGGGACAAGGGGGCGTCGCCGTCGTCGTCGTCGCTGTGGCTCTCGAGGAGGTGGAGGGCGGGCTGGCGGGCGTGGTGGGAGAGGAGGAAATCGCGGCTGGAGGTGGCGCGGCGCCACGCCGGGCTGACGGCGCGGCAGCGGAGGAGGGGTTTGGGGGGCAGCCGGATGAGGATCTCCCAGATGGCGATGTCGTCCGGGAGGCCCGGGAGGAGATCTGCTGCATCCGCCATGGTCGCCGACGCCGGCGGCGGCTGGGACCTCGGAGTGGAAGAGGAGTGGTGGAGTGGAGTTTGTGGCGGCTGGGCTGAGGTAGGTTAAGAAGAGGAGTGGTGGATGTGCATTGCATTTTGGGCCTGCTCCCAAACGGGCTGGGCTTCGTTTCCAAGTGCAAACCAAATCCAAGTTTGGGCGGCTTTCTTTCACTCTTGATTATCATGCACAGTCATATTGCAGTTGTTACTCAAAAAAAAAAGAGAGTCATATTGCAGTTCTATTACTATAAGTGTTTTCATACTATTATGAGACCCTCACCCACCTTGGAATTTTGGAAATGATATCTGTTTTTCTTTTTCTATTAAGTGGAGTTTTTTTTATTGTGCTAGGCTTACACCCGGTTTAGCGAATAGCTCAAGTAGCGGTATATGTGCCTCCTATGGCTTTGTTTTTCGATGTTTCTTTGAGTTTTGTTAGGGGTTGTGTCGGGAAAGTATCAGTGCTCCCAGCATTGGGGTACTCCCGGTGCTCCAATGTCAAAATCACATTTTTATACGTTTCAAAAAATTCCGGAAAAAAATTATGAATGTTCATTAGGAATGTCACCACAACCCCTAAAAATTTCAGGTTCAAATTTGAAATGCACATTGAGAAACAAAAAAGATAAATGTAGATGTTAATAGTGTCAATGTTTCTTTTATCTTTTTTTACACAATTCATGCTAGATTTCACATTTTTGTTTCTCACTGTGTGTTTCGAGTTTAGATATGAAATTTTTAGGGGTTGTAGTCACATTCCTTACGAACATTCATATTTTTTCCAGAATTTTTTGAAATATTTAAAAATGTGTTTTTGATATTGAAGCACCGGGAGTACCCCAAGGCTGGGAGCACCAGATACTTTCCTGGTTTGTGTCCTGCTCGGGAAGGCGAGACAGTGACAGATCCTTGAAGATGGAATAATGTTCTCCCCGCCAAACCCTACCATCAAGGCTTTGTTTTTTCCCTCAAAAAAATGTCCATTGTTTCTTTACTCCTTGTGTAAATAAATTTTTTAGAGATCTTTGGTCAATGTTGAAATTTGTCTAGTTTTCAATCTCATTTATCACACAAAGTTGTGTTGCAGTTCTATTACTATGTAGTTTCGGACTATTTTGTCTAACCTTATGAGACCCGCCTGATCTGGCAAATTTTGGAACCGATATTTGTGCTTCTTTCTACTATATATAAGTGGGCATTATATTTTTATATTATGCTAGACTTTACATTCGGTTTAGCGAATAGTTCTTGTAGAGGTATATGCACCTCCCTTGGTTCTACTTAAAATGAATGTGAAACTAAACATCAGATGTTGCTGGATCTTCTGACAAATTTTTTTTTGAAACAATGATCTTCTGACAATGGTCCTTGACAGTTATACACGGGTCGGCAACATGCTTCGAGGGATATCTGGTTGGATGGGAGCAACGGCCCATTGATCGTGCTGCCTGACAACTTCTTCGGCGGCGAGAGGACAATGAATTTTTGAAAATTTTAAAAATGTATATTTATTAACATACATACGAAAATGTATTTTCAAAAAATAAAAAAATTATGACATGTTTAAAACACATAACCAGAGCTTACAAGTAGAGAAAATGTAGTTAACAAAGAAAATATATTTTGTATTGTAGGCATAAATAGTTTTCACATAATTATATGTTCTTTTTTATATTTTTTATTTTTTATATTTTATATATTGTTATTTTACATATAAATAGTTTTCTCCATAAACAAGGTCAAAAATTCCAAAGTTTGACCTTTAAAAAAGTAAATCTATATATGCACTACATTGTAAAATGGAGTGAGTATCACAGACGAAGAAAAGTAATAACGTTCATGCGCATAAAACATTCATCATGTTTAGGAAGTGTTCAATAGTTTGCGCCCAGATGATCAGAAGCAAGAGCCCGGAGCAGGTTTCCAGATTCATCATATCTGTCGCTCATGGAGACTGTCGCAACCGTGGGATCAGTGGGAGCGTACCGCCTGTCACCGCCTTTCGCTGCCAACCGTGGAGTGGAGTTTGTCATCGTGGCCAGCATTTGAGTCCTTCAAAATGCTCAATCTTGTTTGGTAAGAGATGCAATATTGAAGATCATATCTTTTTTTTAGAAAAGAAGGACGACCCCCGGCCTCTGCATCTGGACGATGCATACGGCCACTTTATTAATTATTGACACAAGACCGTACAGAGTCATACAACAAATAGTCTAAAGCCACCAAACTAAGCAACAACTGTCGCTATCCCTATCCAGTTGATGTAGGGGCGCTGAAAGTCTGGGCCTCATACCAAACAGACAACGCAGCCAAACCTAACCATCTAAAGACTTGAGGTCCCACCCAGGACGCCTGCCGGGTATGGGCACCCACCAGTCCGGCGTGCTTCTCAACCAGGACCCCTGCCGGGTATGAGGCCGCCGCAGCCACCTGCCACGAACCCATCTTCAGAGCTGTACTGCTGCATCAACCTTGGCCGCTCCAACTGCCGCCGACGCCACCATGACGCCAGGCAGAGTCACCCTCCTGCGCGAGTCCATCTCCGCTCATCAGGCGCCGAGTCTCCACTGCGCCACGCCGCCGAGATCCGCCGTCATCAATGGAGCAGATGAAACACCGCTCCTCCTCTTGTCCCCTCCAACCAGCACTCGCTCCAAAACGATGCCCCCAGGAGGGAAAACGGTACCGAAAGCACCATCATCGTCCGATCTGGTAGACCCAGATCTAGGGTTTCCCCCGGAACTTCCCGATCAGGTTGATGTGACCTGCAACGACGATGCCTCCAGAAGGAAACGATGTCTGAGACGCCGCCATCGTCCGCCAAGACCGCAGTCTGGCGCGATTTTCACCAGAAGCCACGTCTTCCCGATCTCGTGGCTGGCTGGAACCGAGCAGAACCTCACCACGAAGACGTATGTTGTCGTCGGTACTCCGGCGGAGATCCGGCATCTCCTCACCGGTCCCTCCACGCGCCGCCGGTCGGCGAAAAGCCTCCCCGCGACGGATCCAAATGGGGCGTTGGATCCGCAGTAGCCGTCGTCACCGTCACAAGCAGGACATCCCACCTCGCCGGATGGGGCGCTGCCACCGCCGCCGTCCATGCAGGGCCACCGCTCCGTCGGCGATGGTGCTCGGGCCCCCGCCGCACTGCCCGGAATCTCCGTCCTAGCCGCCGCCGTTAGATCACATGAGAAGGGCCGCCCCCACCGCCTCAGATGGGATCCGCCGCCTTCCCCCCCCCCCCAGAACCATTGGCACCGGGCCCACTGCCACCGCGGCCCACGCCGGCGGCAGCGGCGGCAGGAAGGGGTGGAGGGAGAGGTGCTGGCGGCGCTAGGGTTGGGGCCCCTGGCGTCACCCGGGGGGAGGCGACGTGAGGGGTGCGAGGACCTCTTCTCACTCCGAAGATCATATCTTGGTTATGGTAATCCTCGAGATGGTTGCTGATGGCTTTTTTTAGGGCTGGTTGTTGATAGTTTTGGTAACAAATGATTTAGGACATTTTCTCTTTGAACACTTACAACCGGAGAGGCCTTTGGCGCTGGTTGGAATAAAACAGTAGGCTGTTCTAAAAAAGGATGAGCTTTATCTCTTGAGTAGCAGTGGTGATCATTCCTTGATAGTAAAGTGGTGATCGTCCATCCATTCATGAATGTGTTATTACTTCTACTTGTTGGATGGAATTGCTGGCAGTTTGATCATGCATGTAAAGAAAAAAAAATGGAATTATGCGTCTGCTTGTTGGACTAAACTGGTGTCGGCAAAACTGAATTTGTGAAACAGACCTAGGTACGTATTGGATTAAGCTAGGTGACTACAAATGGCGGGACTGTGCGTTAGGAAGAGGTAGTTTTTGTACAAAGAAGAGGTAGTAATTTACTAGTCATTGCTCATCTTCATTCATGTCTGCCATTGCTTGATCCTACTACAGTAGCATGAGAGTTCTTGGGCTGGAATGGGTTGCTCGGTCAAACAGTCTGTGTGTGCTTTTCTTTCGTCCCAAGGTGCGCAAAAAAAATGTGTATAAATTTAATGGTTGTTTTTAGAACAGATTCAACGTTTATTGTATTCCTCCGAGTCTCATATTTTATCATGCAAGCTTGTATTTGATGCTATTTGCGCATCACGGTCCACTCCTTCTCCAGGTTGCTCGGATTGAGATCCTCTGCAGTACCGTACGGTGCTGTAGTGTGGATGAGATATAGGGCCGGGTCCCACATGACTATGACTGTACTGCAGAGGATCCTAACCCGGCTGCTCCCACTCCCCCAATGGCCTCTCTTCCTGTCTCCACTGCCAGCGTTGTTGGTCGGAGAGAAAGGGGGAGGACCTCGGCTCCTCCTCTTGCCATGCATATCCTGTGTTGTTGATGTTTTGTCGTTGTGTATTTCGAGATGCTTACCGGTGTGGTGGCGCCAACATCCTACATTTCACTTCTCCTACATCCTGGTCACCATCAACTCCGATGTAGCAGGTCACATAATCTCCTTGTCAAGTTCAGTCTTGCTCTTCCCCCTTATCCAATGGCTTGCTATCGGGGAGTGTCAATCCTTTGTTTGCCTGGTTGTTCTGAGAAATTACCATGTTGTATGTTTGTTCTTCAACGGTTGGTACTGCTATGTCCTTTTTTTTTCTCTGGCTATCCCTTCAATGTCCTTCCAAATGCACTTTGCCTACTGATGTATATGGAGACGGTCCATAAGATCGGCAAATGGCCAATGTCATGTATCGGAAGTCGTGTATAATTTAGTTCTTTCCAATTGAAGTCATGTATATATTAACCATTATTCAGTGGTTATTTCAACTAGGAGAACCTGTGGTTGGATTGTTATAATAGGATGGTTGAACCTCTAGCCCAACAGAGATCAAACCCTAGGTTTTGACTCTTGTGTGTCTCGTAAATGGCAGAATATCCTTTTAGTAATAGGAGATGTTCATGTCGCGAGCTGCATGTGGTGTCTTCATCAACCTCAAGGTCT